TGAGACACACGAGCGCCCGGGTAACCTTTTTGAATGTGATGCAATTTTGCAAAAGTGGTGCAAGCATCACGAGAATGAATAGATATCAATACCTTTTGTAAAGCCTACTCATGTTCCATCTACCTTTGGTTCTTTTGTGAATGCTACTATTTCTACTTCTATTCCTAATCCTGATGAAACTCTCTAATATGATTCTTCATCGTCTACTTCTACATCTGACCCTCCTACTCTTTCGTCTGAAATCCCAAGAAACATTTGCAGTCTTTTGGCTCAGTTTCTTGATGTTTTGGTTGAACTGCGCAGGGTTTTCGCGCGTCCAGTTAAGCACAAATCGAGCTAATTGAGGGGAGTGTTCCTCCTAAAGGTTATGTCTATTGTATGAGACTAGTGGAGATCGAGGTACTGCATAGGCAGATTGATGACATGGTTGATCGAGGATGGATTAAGACCAAGTGAATCTGAGTTTGGTGCACCTGTCTTCTTTTGTGCCCAAAAAGGGAGGGAAACTTCGCATTCGTATTGACTATAGAGGCCTAAACTGGATCACCCGAAAGAACGCCTATTCATTGGCCCAGGTGGATGATGTGTTGGATGTTGCAGGTGGGTGCAAAGTCTTTTCAAAGATCAACCTCAAATCTGGTTATCACCAGGTTGAAGTTGATCTATCACCAGCACACAATTGCGTTGAAGACACGTGACCGGCTGTACGAATTCATCGTCATGCCCTTCGGTCTCATGAGCGCACCAGCCACCTTTCAAAGTCTCAAGGACCATGTCTTTGACAATCAGATTAACAGATTTGTTGTTGTCTACTTGGGTGATATTCTAATTTTCAGCACAAGCATGCAAGAACACAAGCAACGTCTAAGAGAAGTCCTAGAGGTTTTGGAACAGGCACAATTACACTGAAAATTTTGAGTTTGGGAAAGGACAGTGTCATCTACCTTGGGCACCGGTTGTCTGCAGCAGGCCTTGAGGCAACTAAGGTCGAGGTTATTCGCAAGTGGCCTTGGCCCCAGAATGTGCATGATCTGCGATCAGTTCTTGGTTTGGCTTCTTATTTCCGCAAGTTTGTCCCTAAAATCTCAGCTATTGCTCATCCCTTTTCTCGATTGACAAGAAAGAATCCGACTTTTACTTGGAGTGATGCGTATGAGTCCGCATTTGAGTCATTGAAATGTGCATTGGTGAGTTGTCCTGTGCTCCGCATTGCAGATCCCCGACTCACATTCGTAGGCACTAGGGGTGCGAGCCAATATTGAATCCTTTGAGCAGCTCAAGGCTGCTCCTGGCATTAGCCTAACTACCGCAAGTGTGAGGGTCTGTTGCTTCAAGCGTCTGGGAAGTTTGGCATGTTGTGCGTCCCTAATCATGCGCCTCTCCTAACGCACGTTTTGGACATGCCACATAGTAGGAACGGGCATTCGGCATCCTCAAGAATTATGGAAGTTTGTTGCAACGATTTGATTGGCCTAGCATGAAGGAATCTGTGCAAAAGTACTTGGGAGGAATGCATATCCCTTCCTCACCCAATGAGTCATTGTCCATTGATTTCACAGACGTGGGAAACGTACGCATGAGGGGTTACTCTCAAGTCCTTGTCTATCGTTTCTCCAAATTTCTCATTCCGATTCCTCTTCCGCCACATGCGCCTACTGAATTAGTCATATCTGAGTTTGAAAAGAAGTACATTATGCAGTACGAACATCCAAAAACTCTTGTTAACAACGGGTATACTAGATTCATCAGTTCTAATTGGAACGACATCAGTATGCAGAGGTACGATGGAACTCAGCACGCAGCGCGCCCCCATGGCGGACTTAGCTATAGAGTGTAGTTTTGATTTTGGTATCACACTGATCGAAGTGAAGAACGATGGTTCACAAAGGACAAACTTATGAGATCTGTACTGAACGTGATATCAGAATATCTGCTTATGAATGACAGATTAGTATTTATTGGCGGAATTATCAGAGGACTTTCAATCCAAGGGGTTGGGGATGGGTGGCCACAGGGGTGTGGGCGCTGATGAGGGCTGGGAGCCCCTAATCAGCATCACGCAGGCCAAGGGATAGCCCAGCCCGGTAGTCCAAACTGACTGGACTGGGTGGCGCTGGGACCCCGACCAACTGGTAGGGGCTTGGATTTTCTGGAGGTTCCTAGGCTGAGCCGGCGCCAGCCCGAACACATTCTGGCCAGAAGCTGCTAGCACCCAGCACCCACAAGAGCCCAACACCAGGTAGTGTCATCCATAGCTGGTGCTTGAGCGTTGGCCATAGCTGGTGCTTGGGCCTTCGCCGTAGCTGGTGCTTGGGATGAGAAGGATAGAGAGAGAGCGAGGAGGTGATTGGCCGAAAACGGAGGTTCGTTGGAGGAAGGCACGAACCGTAAGAGGAGGGGAAACTACCTCAAGTTTTCGGAATGCTCTGCAATCTTTCTGTTCATCTGATTGCAGTGGTGTTCGACTTTGGGTCTACTTTGGGTCTATATTTCAACAATTGATAGGTGTACCCTGTGTAGCATCGTGTTCGCGTTCGGTGCTTCGTGACCGAATGCAAACGAGCACCAAAACCCTCCGAACGCGAACATCAAAAGAAAAAAAAGTTCTCATAAAACTCTGGAAAAAAAAAAATGTTATGTAAAATAATAATACAAACAACTCTTGCCTCTGAGGTATGTTCAAATTCGTAACCGAACTCAAGTTAAAAATAAAAAAACCCTAGGTTACCAGATGTCCGATTGGAGACGTTTCCCGGAGACTCTGTCGGATGTCGGGTGAGGGATTTCTCCAAAATAAAAAACGAAAAAAAAAATGAAAATGGGGAGGGGCTGCGCTACAAGAGGTGACCCCATAAAACAAATTCAGCTCATTTGGAGCAAACAAAAATAAAATGCAAAACATGGGAAAAGGGGGTTTTGGGGGGGTGGGTTGGGGTGCGTGATTGAAATTGACCCCAATAAGGTAGACCCGTTTGGTTGAAATTGACACGAACATCTTTGGTGATTTTTATCTTTTTTTCTATGGGCTCAAATAATCCGAAAATTTTGTGGCATATACCTCATGTGAGGGAGAACCCATAGAAAAAAAAATAAATCATTTTTCTTATTTTTAATTTTAATTTTTTTTATAGAGGGTCGGACATACTGTCTCCGGAGGACGTTTCCCCAGTTGTCCGACCGGACAAGTCGGACATCCAGAGGGGTCCCGGACGTCCGCCCTGGTAAGCTATATATATACATATATTTTTTTTAATCATTAAAAAAAACAAGTGGACCCAGCGCGGCGAAGCCACTCCCCAGTCCTGCCTATACACGGCAGGAAGCGTGGCAATGTCAGTCTGTGTGTGTGTGTGTGTGTGTGCAGGATGAGCAAAATCGGAATGAATCTTCAGCCAGAACATGGAAATACACACGGCCACACTTTTTTTTTTTTTTTTTCATGTGTGCATCAACTGAGCAGCCTGCCAATGTGCAAAATGAGAAGGAATCTTCCGCAAGAACATAGGAAGATACACCGCGATGATACAATGAAAATAAATCCCGGTATGGACAAAGGAGCCGTCAGATGCAAATGTTGCCGCGCGCGCACACACACACACACACACACACACACACACACACACAGAGAGAGAGAGAGAGAGAGAGAGAGAGAGAGGTGGTGGTGGGGGGGTGGGGAAGGAGGGGGAGGACAACGAGCAGCAGGAGGACGTCGACGAACAGGAGGAGGAGAGGATGTGGTCCGGGTAGCAAGAGGTGGGAGGAGCAGAAAGAGGAGGGGGATGACCATTGGCAGGATGCGGGGTAGGAAGAGATGCGCCGCGGTCGGATTTTCACTGACATGTCAGGAAAAATGGACGAAACACTCTGTTACGTGGATCCCTAGTCACGTGGAGGGTTTACACACGTCGGCCCACAACGCAGGGCGGCACGTGCTCTTTGGTAGACTCCCCAAACCCCAAGAAGTACTTTGCAAGCTGCATTGCTAGCAGGATCATTCTCATTGAATGTTGTGTTTCGTTATCCTCACGCTTCCATATTAGCCTGCCTCCTTTCCCTCCCCTGGAAGTTGCCTTCCTGATGGCGGCTTGGATAGCACACCTCTGAATATGACAGCCTACCTCCTTTCGCTCTCCTACAAGTCGCCCTCCCTTCTTGGGATGGCAGCTTCCAGCCACGGCTCGCTGCAATAGCACACGTGCGAATAGGGGTTCCTATCCTTGTCGATACGCACGCCTGCATGTACGCGGGCCCGCACCTCCACGGACTTCCCAATGCCGCCCGTCGGTCCTGCTCCCGTTCCAGGAACTTGGCGGCGCCCGTCACAGACCCGAACTGGTCGGGGCCAACTTTGACCCCGGGGTGTTTATATGACCAGCCCTTGAACTCCAACGCGCACGCGAAAAGAAATAACAGCGCCCGGTCACCCCCAAGTGCCTCCACCGCGGCAAGCCAGCCTTCGAACTCGCGCGGACGGGGGAAAAAAAAAAAAAAACTGCGACTTCTGCGGCTTCTGCCGGACCCGCGCCCCTCTGACACGAGCTTTTTCCCAGCACTGTAAGCCTGGCATGGTGGGAGCGTTACGCCAGACAAGGCTTACACTTTAGTAAGAGTATAGATATGTTCGACCGAACAGGTTCGGAAGGCGTTCGGGCTAACACCCGAACATGTTCGGGCGTTCAGGAAAGTCCCGAACATGTTCGGTGCGCTACACGGGGTGTACCAACTGAGTCAAGCCCATTGATCTCTGCAATCTTTCACCGTATGGATTCCAGATAGTTAAGCAACTTCGTGCATGGGTCTTTCGTAGACACTTTACTTGGGGTGGAGAAAGAATCAAGCATAAGTACCTACCTGAAAATCAAATTTGGCGTTTTCAGGATAAGAGATACGGAAACGATTAGGTTTTGAGGCACTTCCCTGGACATTGGTGGGTGTGGTATTGTGTTGTGCGGCATCGGACTCAAGCGAGCTAAGTGCTAGTTCGGAGGCTAGAGTGGTAGGGCGAGTGATCGCATTGAAATCGGCAGACCTATTGTTATTCTTCTTGTTCTGCTTGCTGGTGGTGAGGAAAGAAAAGGGGTACTTCATCAATAGACTTCAATATTGTTAGTACTCTGTGCATGTGTGGTAATTGCTTTGTTGCCGAGTCAATGCTCGATTGTGGGAGTGGAATACATTTTGTGATTGGAGTTCCTCCTTGAACGTGGCTTGCTGTTAGAGTTGTTGTTATGGGTTTGATAGTGAGCAGGTTCTTTTCGATGCTGTAGGGTTTATAACTTTATAATACTTTTGTAACTGCATAACAGCGTATGTGTGACTTCTTTCTGCAGGAGGGAGAAACTCCATACCCGGCCCTCTTCGAGTCCAGTTGCACATGGTGCTACACACCCTTCGCTGTTTCTGAGTAAATCATGAGCTTAAACCCTGATAGGGTACAGTCGTAATGTCAAGGGTTTGTCCTGCCCTCTTTTCTTTTATACATGCTTTTTTTTTTTTTGGGGGGGGGGGGGGGGCTGTTGGTGCATTTCTTCTATTTATGACATTTGTGGCGTTATGAGTCTTATGACTGGTTGAAGGGCCAGCAAAAACGATTGATCGTTTTTCGACTTTCATTGAGTTTTTCCATTTGCCGTTGCCAAGTTTTTGAACCTAACTGCGATGCACATATGTCATGGGTATGGTTGTTGTGCGCGGGATCTGCTGCAGGATCATCATCATCCCAGCGAATATAAGCTGCAGTTTTGAAAAGGGGTAGGACACAGAGTAAGGGAGTTGGAGGAGCGAGTAATAGGCAGCGTGGAGGGTAGCGCTGGCACACACGGAGCAGACTGACCACTTTCTGAGTTTCTTTCTCACCTTGCCAGCTCCTCCTCCTCCTTTTTTGAGCACTTGTTGTCACTGTGGGTGTAAGTGGATCAACAGCTTGCATGCACACACACCACATATAGCACACAACATACGCAGACACAGACATACACACACACAACATACGCAGACACAGACATGCATACATGGATCAGAAGACAGACACCAGTTAAACAGAGAGCAGGGTACAGGGGGCAGGAAAGTCATAGCCGTGACGTTTGGGGCTGCAGGTGAATCGATCAGTCTGCTCTTGCTAAAGCTATGAAAAACCTACCGCCAAGGTGTACGGAGGTGGAGATTTCCTTCATCTGAACGTGCACCTGTGCATTTACCGCTTTTCCATTCAGGAGATTAGGCAATAGAAAGGGAGATTTGGGTGTAGCTAGTTCCTGCATTGGAGATAGCTCGCTAGTCAGACAGGTAGGGGCGTCTGGGTTACAAACCAACAAGTGGGAGCGAACAAATACAGAATGGCAGCGACTGTGAGCTCGATACTAATCCCCTGTTCCAGCAACCATCAAGCTGTTGTTCCGTCACTGGGTTGCAGCGATGGGGGAGCACTAGATGTTTCATCTAGACTGTTAGCTTCCAGGGGTCAGGGAAGGTTTTCCCCTTTTGCAAAGGCATGCTCAAAGTGTGTGGGAGGTGTGGGTGTCTGCTGGGTCAGAGAGAGAGAGGCGACGAGTAAATGGTATGGGCTGTCGCTTGCCTGCTCTTCTGGGCAGAAGAGATTACGTGGTGGTGTGGATCGCTGCCGCAGGAAGCGGATGGGCGCTTCACGGTGTGATAGTTGGGCATCTTCTTTGTCCGACAGCAGGCGTGTGGGTCGACTGATGCGCACAAGGGCTGGCAGTGTGGAAGTCGAAGAGACTATCTTTACGTCGCAGGAGTTGTTGGATGCTAACCCATCCAAAGAGCAAACACCACCTCCGGATGGTGGAGGAGCAGTAATGGGGGAAGCGGAGGGAGTGGTGTTGCAGTTGGAAACAGGTAGTGAATCTCAAGAGGAGGATGGAATTGAGAATCAGACGGCTGCCACAGCAGTGGAAGATCCCAAGACGAGTAGACCACGCCGAAGGTTCTTCCGCCAGGGAAAGGAAGGTGGGAAGCCAGGGTCAGGATCAACAACTGCAAGGGAGAAGGTTAGCCGGCAAACGATCGGCAACGTTCTGCGGATTCTGAAAAACCTGCAAGAAGGGGAGGACTTTGAAGCTGCCCTTGGGGAGTGGAAAGCAGCAATGACAGCGAAGGATGTGTGTCTGGTCATACGGGATGGTCGGGTCCCTATGGAAGCTATGGCTAAATTTGTGAGGTATCTGACAGAAGCTGGAAAGCTGACAGGAAATGTGTATGCTCACAATATCTATCTGAATAGACTGGTTGATGCCAAGAGACTGGAAGAGGCAGAGAAACTGGTGGAGGGAATGATTGCAGGTGAGAATGAGGCCAACCCAACGGCAGTGACCTTTACGACGTTGATTGATGGTCTGCGAAAGGCAAAGAAGTTTGAAGAGGCACGGAAGTGGTACATGAAGATGAAGGAGTTGAATGTGCCGAACACTGACGTATCGAGGTTTGTAATACTGAGGGCATGTGGCGCTGGGGGATGGGTTGACATAGCTGAAAGTCTGTACGAAGAAATGAAAGCATCTGGTGAGAAAATCAGTCTTCGGTCCTTCAATGTTATGGTCAATTTATACGGGAAGGCGGAGAGAGCAGAAGCTGCAGAGCGTGTGGTGGACGAGATGATTCAAAGGGGAGTCAAGCCGAGCGAGTTCACATACAACATGTTGATCAGTTTGTGGAGGAAAGCCGGCGATGTTGAGAGGGCCCTTGCCATCTTTCAGAGAATGAAGGATGCAGGTGTGCACCCAAGCGACATGACGTACAACACTGTTCTCAGCATGTATGTACGCCGGGGTATGTTCACCGATGGGGAGAAACTGATGAATGTCCTCTTAGGACAGGGTAGAGTGCTGGCGTACCCCACGTATAGCTTGGGCATCAACATGTTTCGGTGGGCGCGAAAGTTTGACCGTGCGGTCGATGTCTGGAACCACATGCTTGATAACGGATGCAAGCCTGACATGCCGGCTTATGGGGCTATTCTCGAGGCTTATGCAAAGATGGGTGCTGCAGAGGAGGCAGAAAAGCTCTGGAAGGAACTCCACGATGAGGGCCACAAGGCAACGAGATCGGCTTATCGCGCAATGCTTATTGTGTATGTGAGAGGTGGCAATGCTGAGAAGGCCAAGAAGCTGTACGAGGAAATGAAAGAGAAGGGACTGGAGCACGATCAAATTGCGTGCTTGGTCATGATGGGAATGTATGGACAACTGCGGGCTCTTGACAAAGCTGCAACCTTTTATGAGAAGCTGCAGGCGGTAGGGGCCTTGAGGGATCATACGGTGCAGCATGTGTTGTTGGACCTTGTTGGAAAGACGGACAAGAGGGGACTAACAAGCCATGTCTTCCGGCAGTTGCAGGCGATGGGTCGACCAACAGAGGAAGCAGTATACACCCTTCTCATTGACGTGTATGGACGAGCTTCTCGGCAGTCTGATGCGCAGGAGCTCTTTGCTGCACTCAAGCAGAGAGCTGTTGATTCTAATGGTGCTTGTGCTCCCAACTTGTTAACATATGCATCAATGATCACAATGTTCGGGCGGCTGCGAGACATTGAGGGAGTTGAACGCATGTGGAAGGACCTCAGCTCCAGTGGACTTGTGCCTGACCAAAATGCGTATCGTGCGTTGATCGATGCATATGGGAAATCAGGGATGACAGACGAAGCTCAAAAGTTTTCTGTTGAAATGGAAGGAAAGGGCATGCCAAGATACGAGACAAACTTCAGGGGGAAGAGCCAGTTTGAGGATGGGGAGGAGGAGAATGATGAGGATGATAATAATGAGGCGGAGGAAGAGGGTGGCAACGACTGGGAAAATGATGTTCAGGACCCTTAGGAATGGGTGAGGAGGGGAAGGGGGGAAGGGGAGCGGTGAGGGGGGCACTTACTACTGTGGTAGAACCAGTCCACCTGGGCCAGAGTTACGACCTTCCAGAAAACTCTGACTGCTGTTACGGTGATGAGTGATAAGGCCTGTCCTTGTAATCGCAAGCACTCCTCAAGCTTCTGCAGCTGTTAAACCACCACTACCTCCAAGGCTCTTTTTGCCGAGGCAGAGAAGATCTGCACGCCAAGCTTTGCCGAAGCGCCAGCACGACTTAACCTTTGCCTAGTGGTGGTTTAAGCCTCCCTTTCTAACTCGATATTATGTTATCTGCTGCCCTCTTTCTTCCCAACCATTAGTTGGTATTCACTATCTAGTGACTCTTTTCCATCTCCCATTGCCATGTGTGTGTGTGTGTGTGTGTGTGTGTGTGTGTGTGCGTGTGTGTGTGTGTGTGCGGACTTCCACTGTGTGTGTGTGTGTGTGTGTCTGTGCGGACTTCCACTGAAGCGTGTGTGCACACACACACACACACACACACACACACACACACACACACACAC